GGCGCGGTCCGAATTTGGCTTGTTTCTGCATAATTGATGTCTCCCCCTACTCTTCCGTGTTCATTGTTCTTCGAACGGCACGCAGTATTTCTTAGTCTCATTTTGTGTCTGCTTTGTTAGTAACTCCCAGATGTCTTTGGTGCCGTCTCGGCTAAATTTCAAAAACTGTTTCATTTAAAGATATGGCGGTATTTTTGGACCCGGCACAATATTGCCTAACTTCACCTGTCACATTTGTAACACTTTGATTGAAGATCCCTGTTGAACAACCAACTTTTCTACAATTCTTTCATTCGTTTTAATGGTAAATTGGTACTAGCATATACCAGGGAGTCAAATCCGCTGTATGCTCTTTTTTGAGAACGCTTCCATCTCTAACAGAGAGCGAGTATGGAGGAGGTGATAATTTTTGAACTAAAACACCGTGTCTCCTCCTCAGCAGCAGTGTGCCGGGCACTACGACAGGTCAGCTCCTAGAAGTGGGAGGTTCTCACGTGTGGGCGCATGAAAGTTGTGGCGGGAAAACTGCTAAATCGGCAACCAGAAAAGCTGGAAGGCTGAAATTTTAAGGGGATTTTAGAGAACGGTTATTTAAACGGGAACTGTGCGTTTTCTTTTTTGCAAAATTTGCGATGCTTTAAGCTAGTGTAAACATGATTTGCAAATTTTAAATATTAAATAATAATCTCTGACCTCCTTTTCGATTTTTCAACTCATAATCTAAATTACCACCATTTGGACCCCTCTTTTCTTGTCTGTGTTATACTCCGTTAATCACCCTTTGTAAGAGTGAAGCGTCTAGACATAGTATAGTAACTCACTGAATAATGCTTTGTTGTTGAAGTTAGATGGCAGCTGGTACAAAGGGGAGGCTGGTACAAAATCTCTATATAAACCCCCCTTTACTTCATTCATGGTCCGGTTTTTTATATCGTCCTACTCCTTCAACTTCGTCAGGCGGCTCAGTGGTACATTCTCCCTTTCGACGAACAAATCCTCTTCGATTAAACGACACGTCATCCAATTCCTAGCTTCCACGGACCAACCTTCTGCCAACACTCGATTGCGCAACAGGTATGTTTAACTGCGCTTTATCGTACCTAAACGCTATATAATAAAAGCCATTTTGGTAGCCAGCGCGCCACAAACGACCACCAGGAACACAAGTGTGTCCCAACTTACTTTAGTAAGTGCACAAGATAGGAGTAAAGCAAAAGTCATTCGCGCATTTAACGACCTAATTATTTCAAGTTTGGTGCAAAAACGCATGATCGCACCGACAAGGCTGGTGCGTTTCAGCCTGGGTTTACATAAAGCTCGGTCGTTTTTCGGTAAATGCTCGCTTTTTTAAAAAATGCAAATTTCCAGTTCACTAAAAATTGGAAATATTGCTCGAGCGGTCGTTTGTCAAATCATTTTGCGATGCGCACTGGACAGGCCCGTGCGATCATGTGTTTCTGTAGTGTTTCGTGCTGTAATAAGATCACTCGAAATTCCGCTAGGTAGAATCCTCTTGTACATACTGTTCCTCGAATTTCGGGAAGTTAATTATCCACGCTATACTCGGACAGGGAACATTCCCTTGAAATCCCAGCTTCCCAGATTTCTCAGTTCCCAAATTACCCAAATTCCAGCCAGAAATTTTCGCGGGGCCGACTGCGCATAACGGGAGGCTGAGTTTGAAAAATTTAAGTTGTAGATGAGTTGGAAACATTTCCTGAAAGTTTCAGCCCCTCAGCTTCTCTGGTTCCAGAGTTAGCCATTCTCCCGCCAAAAATTTTTATGGGGCCACACGTGGCAACCACGCATAACGGGGAGAAGCTGAATATGATAAATTTAAGTTGTAAATGACTTGGGAACATTTCCTGAAAATTTCAGCCTCCCAGTTTCTCTGGTTCCGGAGCTAGCGATTTTCGCGCCAGGAACCCTCACAGGGCCATACTCGGGAAATGCGAACACCTGGGAGCTGAATTTAAAATCCTTAAGTTCTATACGGACGAGGAACACAATCCCAAAATTTCAGCTTTTTAGCTTTTCTAGTTCCCAAGTTAGCGGTTTTCTCGTCAAAACTTTGAGAGTTCGTACGCGGGGCCTAGACGTGTATGAGGATTGGCACCTCGGTCCTGGGGTGGCACTTCGCCGGGGAACCCACTCGCAAAATTTTGGCGCCGAAGCTTGCTTGGGTGCCGGGTTGAAATCCCCGGTCAGACGCGCACACACACACACACACACACATGCAAACGCACACGTGCAAACGCACACATGCACACACATACACACACACACATACACACACACCGAGGTCGTCACACTATGTTTTTTTGCATATAAGCAAAAACGCATAAAAATCCAAGTATGCAAATGAACTAACATTCATTTATATATTTGGATGAGGGCGGTCGTTCGCTGCAAAACGCACTCGTTTCTGATTTTTTGGTGAAGTTGAGTATTTCTCACGCCCACCTGCAGGGAATTTCATCTCCAAGCAGAATTAAGATCGCACTTGAAAGTAGAATATCCCAGCGAATTTTCAGCCTCGCACCTTATACGGTAAGCGAAAGCCTCGCACCTTATCATGTGTCCACTTCGCTTAAAATATTTTTGAAATGCCTTAAGTCGTGGCGCAAACGCAATTCAGTACTCATTTTAGGTATACAATTTCCCATATGGACGAAACGCATGGTGATCAAATTTCAGCCACTGTTTTCCAGCAAGTTTTTGAGTTAGCACAGTAGCAAGTCGCAAACTTTAACGTTGTCGTACGCACTGCATACGCGTGCGCGACAACTGAGTTTAAAATCTTTTAGCTTCCACAGAGAATATCCCTGCAAAGTTTCAGCTTTGTACCTTGCCTGGTTTGCGAAATCATTTCCCGCCAACGAAACTTGCATATTTCTTTCGGGCATCCGTACGGGAGGTCTAGGCACGGGTGGGGGAAAATTTTGAAACGGGAGGGTGACACACGGGATAGGAACATATGTCCAAGGTCAGCCACCCAGCTTTCCTGGTTATTGTCGAGTGCATTTTATGACTCTATGTGTGTGTGTGTGTATTCAGAAGCGAGTGCATTTTGTCAGCTACTATAGCGCTGCACAGCAAAAACGCATAAAAGCAGAAATGGGCCCCAGTACACTGCAGGCCCTTCGCGTGGTCTGCAGCAGAGGATCGGCGACCCAACAGCGACGAACTGTTAAAACCAGGGAAGGTTATGAAGTGAAAGAGCTCCATACTGAGTTCGGATCCATTTTTTAATTGTGAGCTCCCTACAAACAGTCGTTTTGCCGCATTTTAATTCAAGGCCTAAGTGAAGGGGAAAAGTCGAAGAGAAGCACGTTGGTAAATACGATATCGGCAAGTGGAAGATAGAGGTGATAAGCTAACTGCGGTTATGGAAATGAACAAACTATTTTATGGTAGTATTTAGTTGCCGAAGAGTACAAAATGGAGATAGACTTGGCTTGCACCAAACACAAAAAGATGAAACTGACTACAGGTTAGCTGATGCTTGGAGCATTCTCAAGGATATTTTCGTAACACGATTCTTTAATACGGAAGGCGCCGAGGTCATCTGCGAGCTAGAATGCATATCATTCCGATTTATGAAAGAAAGGGTATTACACGCGGCAAGTCAGCAAAGCAGACCTGAGAAATTGATGGAGGAGTTAAAGCGATAAATCGGGAATACTGATTGGACCATGATGGAGGAAATTAACCGAGACGGAAGCGCTGTTGATAAGCTTATTGAATGCGCGAAGCGAGTCTATCTGATCGACTTTGTCTGTTAGATTCGAAAATTCCCGCAGCTAAGAAAATGTTGTTGGAAAAGAGAAAAAAAAACATGAGAATGAGTAAGATCTGCAACGCAGAGCACTTTTCCTTATCATGAACATCAGATGGAAGTTGAGGAGACTCGAGAACAACAAATGTTGAAAGTAGCGGCGGTTCAAAACATCTGAGACTGAATAAGTGACAGAAGCAACTACTGTTATTTTCTTTCACAGTGGCTTGCTTAGGAATAAAAGGTAAGGGTAGGACCCCCAAAGGGAATTTGTAGGCGAAAAACTGTTTCGCGAACCAGGCAACGTAGAAGGCTGAAACTTTGCAGGGATGTTCTGTATGCACGCACGAGACAAGGGTTTTAAACTCAGCCCTCTAGCTCCCAACCACAGCCTCAAGAGCTCCTGAACCCAAAAATCGTAAGCAACTCGGACCTGAACCGCAATTGCACTCGCAAATGAACGTGCATTTTTA